AGATATCTTATATACTATATGAGATATCTTATATAGAAATTAAATGAGATGCTATATAAGATATCTTATATGATATATAAGATATCTTATATCGTATATAAGATATCTCATTTAATTTTCTATATAAGATATCTTATATAATATATAAGATATCTCATATAGCTATATAAGATATCTTATATAATTAAAGTCTCGTTACTAAATAAGATATCTTATATAGGAACGAGATTTTAACAAAATGTCGAAAATGAAGTCTCCCCGTCCGGAATATCTCGAGGATCTACGTAGGGACAGTAGGCTTGTTGTAACAACACGTGTTCCTGTCGCCGCCATTATGTCTGAGCCCACTTCAAGAGTGCGGGAAATGGCAGCCTCTGCTTTGGCCGCTATAAGAGAGACAAGGCGAGCTAGGCCTAGGGAAAATACAGCATCCGTACCATCCCTCTCCGCCATTGCGCCCAATGCAATCCTGAATGTGCTCCGAATGATTCTCGAGGGAGAAATTAGTTTCTGGTTTTTAATGCCACGAAATCTCATTCTATATCAGATTTCTTATATAGCAAAGAGATTTCAATTATATAAGATATCTTATATAGCTTTATGAGATATCTTATATATTATATGATATATCTTATATAGAAAATTAAATGAGATATCTTATATGCGATACAAGATATCTTGTATAGTATATATGATATCTTATATATTTATATAAGATATCTCATTTAATTTCTATATGAGATATCTCATATAGGATATAAGATATCTCATATAGTTTATAAGATATCTCATATACGATATAAGATATCTTAAATACTATATGATATATCTTATATAATATATATAAGATATCTAATATCCTATATGAGATATCTCATATAGAAATTAAAAGAGATATCTTATATAAGTATATAAGATATCTCATATGCTATATAAGATATCTTATATAATTCGATGAAATACAGGATCGACATTGCTCCTTGAATAAATGTTAAGTTGGCTTGCCATAGTTATTATTTAATACTCAAACACATTTCACCCGTTACTTACCGTAAATCCATGCAAATAAGAAGGACTCTGTGACGGCTATGAGAAGGACGCTCCATGTAGCAGTGTACCAGTCTATCAGTTGGAACATGTACACACCAGCCTACAATACAACACAATACACTATACCAGTCTATCAGTTGTAGCGTGTACA